TTATAAATAAAAATTATACATGTGTAACTGGTACAAAATCAATTTTTTTAAAACTATTAGAATAAATATTCGTCTTCATTAAACGAAGTTGTCTAACACAAAATTGTCTTCAATACTGAATATTGGAATAGTCGTAAAATGTACTCTGATATTTCGAATGGATAGATTTATTATTATTACTTTACTAATAATTCAGTCGATAAACTCTTGATTATATAGTGTAAAGATAAAATATTAGAAAGAGAAGCAACTTCAAAAAAATTCTTTGATTTTCAGTAAAACTCCTTGAGAATTTTCCGATTCTTCAAGGCATATAAATCTCTTAAGAGTACCCCGATCTTTCAAAACGTAAATCTCTTCTGAGAATTCCAGGTTTTCCAGGTAGCAAAATCGTATTTATTCTTCGATCTATTTGTATAGCGGTAAATCGACTTCATGCCGAGTCGTTGCCGGTTTTCCTCGACGGGCAAATTCATCATTACGCACGGCGATCGGCACGCCGCATTACGGTCGTGAGCTTTCACCGTGCGCTCGCGCACGTCTCGCCGTGCAACGCGAGCATTATCGTTTCGTATCCGATATCATTGTACCGCGGGGAACATTAATCAGGGGGTTGCGCGATGCAGAGATAAATTTGTTTCGTGCTCGAGACCGAGGCGCGGCAATGAAAAGGGAAAGGATTCAACACACACAACGTCGATTCCACACCGATTGTAATTTATGCAATCGTCGGTTTTCCGAAAGAAAATTTTTTGAAGAAAACGGTATCGATAAATATCGATAAATTGGCAATAAGTAAATAAATAAATAAATAAATAAATATATATATGTATTTATGTATATGTATATTTCAGTTCTGTATATATTTTATTTCAGTTCTGTACTGTATTTTACTTAGAGATATCAAAGGCAACTTCGGAGTGATGTTAATTTATGAAAGTTTCCTTTCATAAATTAATTTTCTGCAAAGCAATATTCTTAATTATAAATATCTTTTTAATATCTTTAAAGTGCACTTATATTTTATACAGTACATTGAAATACATATATTCCCAATTAGATAACTTAAAATTTTAATTCTAGCTGTACCTTTGTGTGAATATATGAAAATATCAGCATTTGATGATTTTTATTTTTTAAATTTAATTGCCATATAACGGCTGGTTATTTTT